AAAAGCTGAGGGAGGTGACACTCGTGAGGGTGGCCGCCCGATGGCAGAGCTGCGTGGGTGTGGGTGGGTGTGGCATCTGTGGACAGTTCTGTGTCAAGGACAGCAGCCAGCGCTTGGTGGACTCGGCTCTCTGTGGTCCAAGCTGCACTATGAGGACTTAACTACTCAAAGCCGCTGTGGTCTGGACGAACTCCCCGGGGGTTGACTGTCAGGAGCCTGCTCTCTGGTGTGAGGATGATAATACTGGTTTGTAGAAACTGGGAGGCCCCAACAGGTGGCAGGGCTCTTTGAGCACCTGCAATGGCTCAGAGCAGGGCCTTAGGATGCTCCCCCCACCCCTTTTCTGTAATGTTGCTTCAGGACTTGAAGATTCCAACAAATAGTTACGAAGGCCACCTCCTCCAGGCCAGCAAGAGTGATCTTCAAGTTGCACAGAGGCCAAGGGACTGGCTGCAAGGGGCTCAGTGTCTTCACAGTGTTAGAAGCCACGGTCCGGCTCCCAGGTAAATCAGGAGAGCGTCACATGTTAAATGGGCACCTGTGTTGGGCAGGGTTCTCTAGGGAAGCAAGACCAGGACACTTATGCTTAGGTATATGTAAAAGCAAAAGTTTATATCGTGAGAAGGAATGTAACAGCAAATCAGTCCAACTCGCTCTCACAGGACAGGTACTCTGCTGAAGGTCCTTCCAGCTCACCTTGTCACTAGCCCAAGGCCAAGGAGCAGACAGTAGGAAGATGAAGGGGTGAAGTGTAGCAGAGCGCAGCAGGTCTCGGTGGAGCCTTGCCGTGGAGCCAGGCAAAGTGGCTGGCTGGAGGGATGACAAGATGAGCAGTTGGCCTGCAGGCAGCAGACACGGCAGCGTGCGCCGGCACTGCAGTGTGGGACAGCACGGCCCAGCAACTTGGTCCATGTGGTCAGTCCAAGGGCTGGCTTGGCTCACAGGTAGTACAGCACAGGTGTTGAGGCAGGGTAGCTAAATCGGGCAGTGTGCTGGTGGGACCACCAGGGAGAGAGAGACAGGTGGGCCTCTTAGAGCCATTTATCTTGGTCACACCTCACAAGGCGGTCCTCAAGCTGCAGCCTGATTAGCAGGCTAAACTCCGCCCATTTCTCCTTATGGGTGCCATGTGGGCACAAAGAAACCTATCACAGTGCCCCACCCATGTGGCTTTATTCCTGAAGGGCAGGTGGTGGACTGGAAGAGGGCTCCCCAGGAGCCAGAGTCAGCCTCCAGTGTCCCCAGGAGGCCCTATAGCCTTCAGCTGCAAACACTCTCCTGTCTTTGAGCTTAAATCCTGAGCACTGCATTTGCAGAAGGCTGTGGATTATCGTGAAAACTCCAAAGCCATTTGCAGAGTCCCCAGGTGGATTAAACCTCCCCAGAATGTTTTCTGACCATTAACCTGGCCCTCAGGCAGAATGCAAGGGAAAGTGGATTGCCTTCCCCTCCCACTAGCCGGCCCAGGGAGGGGCACTCTCGCTTAGACACTTGAGTTGGTGTGTCCTTCATGGAAACTGCCATACTCGGTCACATAGTCCTGAGTCATACCATGAGTCATGCCTGACTGCTTAGATCGGAAGGCCCTGGACCAATCTCCTAAGCGAGTCTGTCTAAAATAATGTCCATACACACGTGTCTCCACCATGGCCCAGGTCCCGCATCTGTCGCCCCCTGTAGCTATGGTGCATTGATCTGCCTCCAATCATGCTCTTGTGGCCGTTTCCTTTGCCCTCCATGTCCTTTGAACTTCTCTGCAGCTCAGCAAACCCTTGGATGCCATTATGACCTCGTGCTAATCGTCTGTCTCATCTAGGTGATGTGTCTTTATCTCCGTCCTGTTTAAAACTTTATATTTGAGATTTGGGGTCTCTTTTGTGCCCTGTAAGACTTCCACCACTCTGCTCCATTGGCCCGGATGTCCCTGTGTGAGGTCCAGGCAGAACCCTGTGCTCTGCGAACTTGACTGACCTGCAAACCCTGGCTCCAACCTCTCCACACTTCTGGTTGCAGCTCAGGGCATCTCCACTCTTGCCTTTGTGCCCAGGGGGTAGTCAGAACTCAACAGACTGGCTGCAAATAAGACTCAGACAGGAAAGAGCACTGGTGACCAGGGGAATCGGTCTATCTCCCTCCCTTCAGCCTTCCTCCCTTCCTTCTATCAATAAGTGGTCAAGAAGCTGCCTTTGTGTCATGAGGTAGGTAGCGGAGGGAGCGGGGCTTGGGTAGGGAAATCCAAAGACAGGCTTCAGTTCTCGGGAGCAGTCAGGAGACAGACCCCTTTTAAATAACCCAGGAATAAGCACGAGTTTCCTGGTTCCAGAAGTATGCAACAGGTTCCGGATGGTGGGAGGCCAGGGGGGGGACTCATCAGGGATGTCCAGAGGGCACAGTTGAAGGTGAGGTGCAGCTGCCCCAGTGAGGTCACATGAGCCAATTCAAGGACATATTCCAAAGGAAGATGCTGTGGGCTAACCAAGCAGGGCCTGGCGGGCAGGGAAGGTGTTTGGTGGAAGAAGCTAAAAAGGCAGGACTGGGCAACAAGGGCAGGCTGAGGCTGAGGGAGAGGTCAGGGAGGACTCCGGGTGCCCTAGCCCTGTGGTTTGGGGCCACTGGGGCCACCAGCAAAGCAGGGGAGAGAAATGGCAGGTCATACTAACTGGTCTTCCTAGTAGGATTTTATCATTGACAGCATTGTAGTTCATGGTCAATCTTAAAATGTTCTTGATGATGAATGTGAAGCCATTCCTTTTCAAGACGGGGCTTTCTACTCCCGTGAAACAGTTACCAGCTTGGAAACCCAAAGGGGGCCATTCTACCCCGTCCTATAGGGTCGCTATGAGTTGGCATCAACTTGATGGCAGGGAGTTTGGATTTTGCATTTGGGCATATCCAACCACAGGATTGTCTGATTCAAAGTGGTCAATACCAGTCCGTTTCAGCTCACTGAAGCCCTGACGGTACTGTCAGGGCAGTGTTGGACACTGCCAAATATACAAGGTCGGTGGTTCAAACTCAGGGGGAACTATGTGGGAAAAAGATGAGGCTGTCTGTTCCCAAAGAAGATATACAGCCTAGGGCACCCTCTATCGGGCCACTATGTGTTGGAATCCGCTCCCCTGGTCATATTTTCAGCCTTTTCCCCTGAGGGGCTTATCTCTAGCATTATATACCTGTCCAGATCCTACTGGCCTTTGTCAGGTTTGCAGCGGCTAACCTCACAGACATGGGTCCCTTACGTTCTTCCTAATCTGTCTTAGTCTAGAAACTGCTGCAACCACCGCTCTGAGTGACCCTGCTGGGACGTGAACTATAGGAGCACTGCTTCCAGCATCATAGCAACATGCAAACCACCACAGGACGAGAGTGAACGTGCCAGGCGAGCGGAGTGGGGCCCTCGGAATATAAAAACTCCACCAAATCCACTGCCCTCGAGTCGATGCTGATCCACAGCGACCCAGAAGCAGGGGAAGACTGCCCCGTGAGTTTCGGAGACCGTACACTTTCATGGGAGTCGAGACCTGTCTTTCTCTCCTAGAGTGGCTCGTTGTTTCAAACTGCTGACCCGGGGTTATCAGCCCAGTAGGTTACCTCCGGAATCCTACAAGGCCTACCAGACACGGCAGCTCTCATGGTGGGTGTGCAGCATGTTGCGGCCACCTCTGCTCTGTCTGGAGGGTGTATTCCAACATATCACAGGCCCCCAGGCCCCTGGGTTCCCTACTGGCCTGCAGGCCCTGGGCCCGGAAAGGTCGAGCTCCCACAGGTAGCCAACGAAAGTGTCTAGTTGCTTCCCTGTTCCCTCCTGTTCATCGGACCTAGACAATCATGGAATGTAAGGACGTTAAGGGTCGGGGTGATGTTCCTTGGGATCACAAGATAATCACAGACTATACAGTGCATTATAGCAGAGAACCAGAACATTGGCCTGGGGCAACGGTGAAGGTGTTCTGTGTCCCCGGCTCCTTGAAGACAGCTGGCTGATCATCTTTGCTGATTGGATGGAGGAAAACCGCAGAGCATTGGTTGGGCTAATTGCTGCACAATGTGCCAGGAGCTCGTGCTGATTTTGCTGATTTGCTCCGGGAGGCCACCGTCTGAGCTGTGCCAGGTGTCCCCCTACGTGTCTGAAGGTCCACCATGATTTTTCCATACCCTTCTGGCCTTTACAGCATCATAAAGGCAAGTCGGCAGCAGTGTCTCCCAAGACCTGGATCGGCATTCATCCCCATGATCCTCCTGCGGTAATGCCAGTGTCATGGTTCACAAGGTTTTGGCAGCAGGGTGGTTCTGGGGATGTCATGTGTTCCTTTCTCCAACAACAGCCTTCCCACCAGAGGTGAAAGAATGATGGTGGAGAGTCTTTTTTTTTTTTTTTTAAACATTTTATTAGGGGCTCATACAACTGTTATCCCAATCCATACACACATCAATTGTGTAAAGCGCATTTGTACATTGTTTCTCAAAACATTTTCTCTCCATTTAAACCCCCGACATTAGGTCCTCATTTTTCCCCTCCCTCCCCGCTCCCCCCTCCCGCATGAGCCCTTGATAGTTTATAAATGGGTATTTTGTCATATCTTGCCCTGTCCGACGTCTCCCTTCATCCACTTTTCGGTTGTCTGTCCCCCAGGGAGGAGGTCACACACAGTTCCATGTAATCGGTTCCCTCTTTCCTACCCATTCTCCCTTTACCCTCCCTGTTTTGCCACTCACACCACTGGTCCTATAGGGCTCATCCGTCCTGGATTCCCTGTATTTTCAGTTCCTATCTGTCCCAGTGTACCGGTGGAGAGTCTTTCAATTGGTGAATTTGTCGCACCATGGGGCCTTGTGTGTTATTCAATGGAAACTACCACTCGTATTGCAAAATACCAGCAAACTAACCCAAAATACCAGCAGGGACAGGTTTCCCTGTGAAGCTTCTTGACTAGGACAGACTAGGAAGAAAGACCCAGCTCTGTGCTTATGAATGAAAAACGCATAGTTCACAGCACAGTATGGTCCCCCTCGCTTGCTTTGGGCACATCCTCAGGAAAGAGCAGTTACAAGAGGACAGTGTGGTGCTTGGTGAGGTCGAGGACCAGCGCATGACATTCTTGGTGAGCTGGCTGGATTAGCCCAAGAGCCACAGCTATGGACTCAAATATGTAGGTGATCACAAGGATTACACAGGATTGAGCAATGTTTTGTTCTGTTGTACACAAGGTCACCATGAGTCAGCACTGACTGGATGTCAGCCATTGATCTATCTCCACAGACTAGGACCTCTGCTCCCACTGTGAGACTGATAAGGCCAAGGTCGCCTCCTCAGCTGCTCTCTATAAACCCCAATCTGTCCAGTGAACCACAGTGGCTGACCAGGGCCATTGTAGAGCCAGTTATCTCATAACCCTGAAAGATCAGGGCATTTCCCTTTCCCAGCACAAGGACCCTTGCAAATAGCCCTAGGCTGGGAAGACTTGGGGGAAGATTGATGGTCCACAATGGTTAATTGCATGGTCCTGCCATAACGGGACTAGGAATCCCTTTGACGATACCTGAGTTAGATTGCCCCCAGCAGGCCTGTGTAGGTCAAGTAGCACGTTTGTAGGCTGTGCATCGATTTCAGTCCTGGGTTCCCTGCAGTTGGTTAGCCATCACCGTGATCCCAGTGGCAAAGATGATTCCAATTTCTTCCTGGCTCATTGTGGAAATTGCCCCCATGTTTGTCCTTTTTTTGATGCCAGTGGGAATCTGTTGTCAAATTTGAGAGGATTAAGAGCGAAAGGGTGGAGTTTATCCTGTCGATCAGGATGCAGCTTGGAGGCACTACGGAGATCAATAGCTTGCATGAGGCGGATGCACACACAGTCACTGTGAGACGAGCTTGCTGACAAGCCACAGGCTGGTAGCAGCCAGAGCCTCGGAGCTGGAGAGGCTATGTGGAGACCCCTTTACACTGCCACTGGATCCACCAGACTTCCCATCCGCTGGCCTATGATCTTCCTGCATTTGCCACCATTGCATGTGTTTCTGAGTCTGAAGAGGACTTTATAGATTGGTGTCAGACATATAGGCTAATATTGAACTTCTGGACTTGATCTGGACTGGGCTGGGACGTTTTCGCAATATTTCATTGCTCTTGTATATAAAGCTCTTTCTTATACACATATGAGTGTCTATGATTTGTTTCTCTTCTAACCCAGACTAACACAATGCCCAAACTGCCATTTTAATGTGTTGAATCTATTCATGACCTACTGGCGATATGCTTCATATTTGTTATCATGCTTATTATTTCCAGCATTTGACTCTTACACTTTCCGTTTCTCTCTGAAATGCCCCATCTGTTCATGCATATTGCTCATCTTTTCCACTAGGGTCTTTAGGGTTATCCTCTGTCTAATAACTCCAGAATGGACGTCATATCTGAATTGGTTTCTGTTGATTTTTGCCTGCTTTTTTCCCCTGCTGTTTTTGCGTCTTATAATTTTAAGTTAAAAGCTACACATCAAGAGTAGGAGAATAAAGCCTGAGGTAAATAGTGTTTATATCTGCAATGGACATTCCTTTTCTTCTATAAAAAAGAGTTTATCTAAGTTTGGGTTTTATTGGAACAATGAGTGTTGGACGGCTAACAGCAAGGTTGGTGGTTCAAACCCACCAGTTGCTCCATGGGAAAAAGTTGAGTTTATCTGCTTCCATAAAAATTTATAGGCTTGGAAATCCTATTTAGGGTCACTATGAGTTAGTATTGACTCAGTGGCAGTGAGTATTCTTCTAGCATTATCTAGTTTTCTGGAGAACTTTTCTCGATTAAAAAATATTTTTCATTACTTCTGACCTATTATTTTCTCTACTCCTGCAACTCTACTTCACAAACATGTTATATCTTTTCACTACATTGTATATGTCTCATACCATTTTACTTTATCTTTTCTGTACATTTCCTCTTTCTAAATAGTCTAAATATTTTCTTCTGTCCTATCTTCCAGTTTACTTATTATCTCTTCCATTGTGTCTAATTTGTTGTTAAATAGTCTTTGCATTCAGATTTTTCTGTTTTCAAAATTTTTTTGTGAGATTTTAGTTCTTGGATGAAACTTTCCATCTCAATTAATTTTTTTAAACATATAAATCATAATTGCTTTAAAATCTTTGTCTAATAATGTCATCAATTTCCTATTCTCTTATGGATTTATTCCTACCTTGTATATATAAGTAGTTTTGGATCATTTGTCTGCTGTGTTCTTTGTATTTTTAATGCTTAGTTCTAGACATTGTATGTGAAAATTTTAGTTTAAGACCCTGGATAATGCTTTCTTTTTTCTGCAAGGATTTCGTTTTGTTTCCAGACAGGAGGCGGGGGCAGATCATCTTGATGAGATCTCAAATTTGAGTTTAAGCTGTTAGAAGCTAGCTTTCAGTCTATGCATGGGCTGAACTACTTAAACTTCAGCTTTATACCTATATTGTTCCCTCACCATTTCTAACAGAAGGTATAAGCTATTTATTTATCAGAGCCTCCCTACTTAGCAGGCCATGACTACTGTCTTCCCCACTGTGGGATTTAAAACTCCGTCCAGTTGTTCAACTTCTCATCCACTGCGTAGTAATCACTTCCTTTCTGGATCTTTGTCCCTCAGTTCTTCCTTGCTTTGGTGGTATCTGAAGTCTATGAACCAGATTGTTTTCAGAAATATTGTAAACAAGTCTTATGACTGTTCTTCTCAGGAGGATTGGTCTGATACGAGCTAGTCCTTCTTTCTTTGTCAACAGAAACTTCTCGGGTGCTTTCGGGATTTCTCGTCATCTCACTATGTCTCTCTGTTGCTCTCTCGTTAGTCAGCTCTTTGATCTTCAGTGACTTTCAATTTGTAGAGACACATTTCTTTAATTCGGGGACATCTCTTTAACGATGTCTGGAATTTGTCATTTCCTTTTCTTCATTTTAAGCAAAGTTCTTCTGATATTACTCTTGCCGTTTTCTCTGTCATGGCTAAGAGGCTAGAAGCCGTGGTGCTGTAGTGGGGGAAAGAGGAAGTTTTCTGCTCTCGGGAAGAGTTGCAGTTGTGGACCCACAGGGACAGTTCTATGCGGTCCTGTAGGGTTCCCATGAGTCACAATGGACTTGATGGCAGAGCTGTGATTTCTTTGTTGGTTTCATGGTCAGTCATTGCAGCCATTTCTTCATGTATGTGTTGGCTGTCTAAATATCCCCTTTGATGAACTCTGTCCATGCTGTTTGCTCATGTTAAAAATTGGATTATTTAGTACTCCCTCAATGCAAGAATACTTTCTTCTAGTAAATTGGCATTCTATGATGCTCACCTTCCCGACACAACCGCTGCAGACAAAGCGGGTGAATAAGCAAATGTGTGAAGAAAGCTGATGGTGCCCGGCTATCAAAAGATATAGCGTCTGGGGTCTTAAAAGCTTGAAGGTAATCAAGCTCAGAAGCAACAAAGCCCACATGGAACAACATATCAACCTCTGTGATCACGAGGTGTCGAACAGATCACTGAAGACAGATGGGTACAAAAACAAATGTGGCAAAGAAAGCTGATGGTGCCCGGCTATCAAAAAGTATAGCGTCTGGGGTCTTAAAGGCTTGAAGGTAATCAAGCTCAGAAGCAACAAAGCCCACATGGAAGAAGCACACCAGCCTATGCAACCACAAGGTGTCGAAGGGATCAGGTATAAGGCATCATCAGAACAAATAATCTTACCATAGTGAATGATGGGGGGAGTGCGGAGTGGAGATCCAAAGCCCATTAGTAGGCCACTGGCGATTCCCTTGCAGAGGGGTCTTGGGGAGGAGACGAGCCAGTGGGGGTGCGATGTAACAATGATGAGAAATACAACTTTCCTCTAGTTCCTAAATGTTTCCTCCCCGCTCCCACTACCATGACTCGAATTCGACCTTGCAAGTCTGGCTAGACCAGAGGATGTACACTGGTACAGATAGGAACTGAAAATACAGGGAATCCAGGGCGGATGAGCCCTATAGGACCAGTGGTGTGAGTGGCAAAACAGGGAGGGTAAAGGGAGAATGGGTAGGAAAGAGGGAACCGATTACAAGGAACTATATGTGACCTCCCCCCCGGGGGACAGACAACCGAAAAGTGGGTGAAAGGAAATGTTGGACAGGGCAAGATATGACAAAATACCAATTTATAAACTATCAAGGGCTCATGAGGGAGGGGGGAGCGGGGAGGGAGGGGAAAATGAGGACCTAATGTCGGGGGTTTAAGTGGAGAGAAAATGTTTTGAGAATGACGTACAAATGCGCTTTACACAATTGATGTGTGTATGGATTGCAATAACAGTTGTATGAACCCCTAATAAAATGTTAAAAAAATAAGAATATAGAAAAATAAGAAAAAGAATTGGATTATTTTTATGTTGTTACATTTTAACAACTCTGAAGTTGAAACGTGTCCTCTAATCCCTGTCTGTCATAGTTTAGTGTGTTATGTAGTACATACTCTGTTATGTTTTCTAATTTATGGTTATAGTTGATGCCATATTGATAGCCTTTTAACATTATCTACCCTAAATCACATCTCAGCAGACAATTTGGGGTAGTTCTGGTCCATCTCCATCTTGCAAGGAACTGGTGGTTCTGCCTTCCAGAAGCACAACTGAAGTTAGTCATTCTACCTGGGGATTCTCTGGAATAGGCTGGCTACAGTCCAGATTCACGGATGAGAGGGACTTTAACCTGGATGGGATGGGGTTTGGGCTCTGACCACGACTTTCATGAAGAGACTTTTCCAGCTTGTGTGGTGGGGGGCAATTTTGAGAAGCTCCCCTTCCTTTTCCTAAATGGTGGTTCTAGCCAGGACTCACTGATGGTTGTAGGGAAAAGGGCCATGAGAATTCGTTGTGGTATGAATAGGAAGTGAGAGAAACCCAGTTGGATAGGCTTCACTCAGGCAGAATGGAAAGAGTTCTGACATGTTAAGTCTGGGCCCTACTATTGGCTACCTATACAGCCTTGTGCAATCTGCCCTCTCCTAAATCTTCGTTTGCTAATTGGCAAAATAGAAATCATGAGGGCTTCTGCTGTTGAGTGCTGTGGTGGGGCTCTGATGGATCAGCACAAACTTGACACTGCATTTGGCACACCTGGACCATTTCGTCTGAGGGCATTTGGGTGAGAGACCGGGCAGCCAAGAAGAACCAGTGTCTTCTCAGAGGATATAGGCCAGGTAGGCCAGGTGTCGGACTTCTCCAGCATGCTTGCCTTGTCCACCTGAGGTCTCCTCTTCTCAGCGGTGCCTGTCATGTCACTTGCATGTCAGAACTCACAGACCAAGTGCCCAAGCTTCTCATCACTATATGACCATGCTACTTCTCTTCTGGAAGTACCTTGGTTTGACCATCTGCAGAATGGTTTTTTTATTATTATTTTTTTTCATGATTAAAGCTAGAGGGCCTAGGAGAGCATCTGTGAATTCCGGATGTGTAGTAAAATGTGTCACTCAGATCGAGACTACCCAAGGGGAGAAAAGGAAGTCAAAGAGGGTGTGACAAGTGGACGGAGGAAAAGACACCCATTACCCCTGAGCTCCACTTTCGGGGCACCCTTTTTACCCTCTTGAACTCAACTCATACCATCGAGTCAATGTCGACTCATAGCGACCATACAGCTCCGGGTAGAACTGCCCGTGAGTCTCGGAGACTTAACTTTTAACGGAAGGAGCAAACAGAAGAAACAAACACACTCATTGTGTGGAGTCATTGGGGACTCACAGCGACCCTTTAAGGGTTTACAAGACTGTTAACTGTTTATGGCAGTTGAAGCCCAGTCTGTCTCCCATGGAGCTGCAGGTGGTTTCACGCTGCTCACCCAGCGGATCACAACCCAACATGTGACCACTGCACCACTAGGGCTCTTCGGGGATGCCTTTATCCACCTGCGGAGCCGTGGCTGTGTCCTGGTTGTGCTGAATGTCAGTGGTTGGAAGCCAGGAGCTGCTAGCATTGCGGGAGAAGGCTCGGAAACCCACGGGCAAGTTCTATCCTGCTGTGTAGTCACTAGGGGTCGGAGTTGGAATTGGCTCCGTGGCACGAGGTTGGTTGGTCTGTCTCAAATCCACCTGAGCTGTTGGTGAGGAAGGACACACTCGGGAGATCCGATGAGACTACCAAGTGAACTCAATGCACATGCGCCCAGGTGAAGCCTGTACCGAGTCTCCGCTGCCTTTAGGCTGTTTCAGGGGGTGACCTCGCTCCCGCTATTTGCCCAGCCCCACCTGGGCGACTCTGGGCCCACGCAGGAGATGCCCGGGCCCCTCGGACTGCAGACGGTGTCTGCGCCCAGGGCCCTGAGCCATCAAAAGAGAGGACGGCCAGGTGAGCCAAGGCACGTAGCCTCTCCGGTCGCCAAAGCAACGGGTTTATGCCTGCCTAGACACGTCCTGCCGCGGGGCCTGAGACCCCTCGGGCCAAAGGGCCTTGTGCGCAGTTCCCCGATGGCGTTCTAAGGCCTGGGGCATACAGAACGGGACCGCGGCCCGCGGAAGTACAGTGGACGCGGGGCCAAGAAGGGTGCCGGAGACTTGGAGGTGCGGGGCCGGAAAGACCCTGGGATTTGGGGACGCGAGGCGCAAGGCCAGCGGGGACGCGGAAGGGACGCGGGGGCGCGCCGCCGCCCCGCCCCGTGACGCATTTCCAACCGCCTGGAACCACGTCCCGGGTCGAGCGCGCGCCCGACGCCCGGGGC